TTCAGGTGCAGCAGGTTTTGTGCTGAAGACATCTCCTGTGTGTCTGCTCTACTCTCTTTGATCCTCTCTCTGTTTGTCTTTTTATTTTTCTCTGAACTCACAGTTTGTTGACACTGCAGTGTGTGTGTGTGTGTGTGCATGTGTGTGACGGTGCAGACACAGCGACTGTTGTTAATCTTTTCATGTCTCTCTCTCTCTCTCTCTCTCTCTGTGCAGAGGCTGCTTTGTGAACGAGGAGGATGAGAACCTGCCCCACCATGATGAGAAGAGCTGGTTCGTGGGCGACCTGAACAGGACGCAGGCGGAGGAGCTGCTGCTGGGGAAACCAGACGGATCCTTCCTGATCAGAGAGAGCAGCAAAAAGGGCTGCTACGCCTGCTCTGTTGTGTGAGTACACAGTGAAAGAACACACACTTGTGGTAATAGTTTGTATTACACACATGCTAACCTTTAGCCATTTTACTAAGGTAAGGTTTTCAATCAAAGAAAAGAACAAAACAACACAGCCGAAACAGGAAGTTATGATGACGCAAGCAAAAACTCACGGGCTTGATATCCGAAACGTTCTTTTTGACTTTAATTTTGGTGCATCACTATAAATACTTGAGAAACAATGAAGCTGTGACGTCACACTAGGAAGTTTTTTAAAAAACCACTGTAAAACACTGTTGGTGTCTGTGGAACAAGTTCTTCCCACGTTCTGTTTCAAAACCTGAATGTCTCTTAGCCTTTGTAGGCTCCCGATGTCTGGGTTTAATAGTGGGTCTCAACCAACGTTTTTAGGAGCATACTGCCACCTACTGAATTAAAAAAAATAAAACAATGTAATAAAATGTAGTAGTTTAACAAATGAAAACGATCAATGACTAAATGTCTCTGTTGTGTGTGTGTGTGTGTGTGTGTGTGTGTGTGTGTGTTAGTGTGGAGGGGGAGGTGAAGCACTGCGTCATCTACAGCACACCGCGAGGCTTCGGCTTTGCTGAGCCCTACAACCTGTACAGCAGCCTGAAGGACCTGGTGCTCCACTATCACCACACTTCCCTGGTGCAGCACAACGACTCGCTCAACATCCGCCTCGCTCACCCCGTCTACGCACAGATGCCCTCGGGACACAGATGAACCCCCACCAATACACACTCACCCACACACAAGTCTGCTCACACTCCAACAGAGACGAGTAACTCACGCCCCTCCTGCTCTAGGAGGAGGGAGGAAGGAGTGAAGGTGAGGTGGTTCAGTTGAAGTACAGATCATCTCCAGCACCGCAGTAAAAAAAAAAAAAAGAAAAAAACATTTCTCTGCAACACACACGTCAGCCACCTTTGGAGGTATCTCTATTTTTTACCTGAACATTCTCAGAGGGCATTCTTTCTAAGACTGCTTGATTTGCACAAGGAAGTTTTACATGTTTGTGAATGTGAAAAAAATAACAGAGAAGAGAAGGAAGGAAGGAAGGAACCGGAGTAGGCAACTTCAACAGGTTTCAGGTTGACCCGCTGCTACCTAAACTCCAGCTCAGACTTTTTACTACAAACTCGAGAGAAAAAGAGAAAAAAACTACAACAAAATTCCTGAGAAAAACAGACGACAACAAAACATTCCCACTTTAAAACTGTTTTATTTTTGAATCTGAGAAGATTTTATCGCAGTTTATTTGTGATTTTGTTTCCTGGAGGTTTTCTCTTTCATGTTTCAGGTTTTTACTCCTAACTTGTTTGTGGTAAATGCCAAGAGGAGATGATGATGATGAAGATTGTGAGGATGGTGATGATGAAGATTGTGAGTATGGTGAAGATGATTTCAAGTGTCTTTTTCTGTCCCTCTTCATACAAAAAGCAAAAAGATGTAGCATATAATAATAGACAGCTGGAGGGTGGTAGGCTGCTGCTGCTGCTGCTGCTGCTGCTGCTGCTGGGGAGGGGGTTAAGAGAGGGGGGAAGTGTTTGTTACTCCTGAGGACAAAAGTCTTGCTTTTATACTGACTGCATTTTTTTTTACATTTTGGAGACGTTTGTGTCAGAGGTTGGAGACCAAAGTAGGTGTCGAAGAGAAAGAAGAGATTTCTGTTCCTTCTTTCTTTTCTTTACCTTTTCTGTGAATGGAAACAGTAGTGATGGTGTGTTTGAGGTCATACATACACAGGCAGTGTGTGTGTGTTGACGTACCAAACAGCCCTTTGTCAGAGTGAAAACCAAATGGTACGAGAGAGAGAGGGTCTGTGAATACAGAAGAAAAAAAGCACTTAACTGAGTCTCATCTGTGACCCGAGTTCTCTGGTTGTTCTCTGGGTCAGTCCTCGACAAGAGCGATACTGCGTGGAAAGTTCATGTCATTGAATTATCTAAAAGAAATTAGCTAAAAACATTTTTTATTGATTACCAGACAACAGCGTGAAAAATAAACTGCAGAGTCTAACTCGTGAATGGGCATATGTTCCACATTTCACAGAAACAAAATGAGTTAAAACCAACATGTTCATGTTTTTGCTGGGTCACAGAAAGTACAGAGGTCTAAGGTCACAGATGGGTACACTCAGTAAAAGGTCAGAGGTCAGGTTTTTAAGGTCATCTGTAAAGAATCTGACCATCAAACCTTAAAAACCCATAGTTATGTGTGGTTTAAAAAATAACAACAGAGAGAGAGAGAAAATCCTCAGAAATAATAAGCTTTGATAATATATTGTTTTTTTTTAATGTGTATGATGGAGAGAGGGAGATTGAGAGGGGGAGGGAGGGAGGGAATGACAGAGGTGACGTACAGACAGAGCTGAAGACACAGGTTTTAGTGACATACTGAAAACTTGAAAGAATGTGCAATCCAGCATTGTGTTATTAATGAGAGAGAGAGAGAGAGAGAGAGAGTGATGCACTATGGTCCCAGAGATAATCAAAGTGTGAAGCTGTGGGTGTGGCCTTCACCTCTGGTTGTTAGGTTCTTATTTTAATTCTGATTAATGTGTTAGTTTTATTGATTATTGTTAAGTTGGAACTTCCTGTCCGGTGCTTGACTTTATAACCAGTGAAGGTTTTTTTTTATTATTTGTCAAAGACTTAAGAAATAAAAACATCACAATAAAATGTATCTTCAGAACCTGGAGAGAAAAAAAACACAAACTTTGCGTTCAATTCTTACTGAAAACCTGCTGTCCCTGATTGGCTGTTGGTTTCTGCAGCTGTCCTCTCTTCTGTGTTTCTGTGGAGCAGTGAACTAATGGTTGAACACATTTATTTAACAATTGGAACCAGCCAGAGTTTGGGATCTGAATCTACCCATCTCTGGTGCTCGACCCGTGTGGCTCGTCTCGGTGCCACGTCCTAACAAAAACGTGCCAAATCCCACCTGGGGGTCATCTGCTGTGAAGCTGACCCTAAAACTGGGCAGCAGCCCAGTGATGAAGCTTTCATTTCAGGCTCATTCTCCCTGTTGGAGGTCTATGTCCATTTCTGACCTAGCCTCTGGGCCACAGCAGAAACACAGAAGCGTTGGTTTAGATCCTGGTTACAAAGTCAGAACAAGCACCTTCTTTAACCTCATAGGTTTTTCAGGCCAGCATGTGAGCGTATGGGCCACACAAACTTTTACAAATGTAAATGTATGTACAGTATGTACACACACACACAGCCAACACACACACACATACACCAACAGATGTACGGGAGTGTGTTTAGGAAGAGGGCCATTGTTTGTTTGTGAAGCTGCAGAGGAGTCATTGTGCATGAATGTGTGTGTGTGTGTGTGTGTGTGTGTGTGTAAGCCCTCCCACCCCCTCAGTGTCCTCCTCCACCACTCTACTGTGTACTTCTCCATGACACTATCACTGTTAGCTGGCCCCACCCCCTGCTGGTAGGCTCGTGGTGAGGTTAGCATAGCTAAAATAATAATAATAATAATAATAATGAAGGACTGCCTCAGTTTTTGTGGGCAGTGGGACGCTCCAGTTTGACCTGTGGACCAAACCTGTCGTTTCTATTTTGGTGCAGGTTCCGTGTGAGCGAGCAAATGTTCGTGCTAACACTGGTCTTAAACTTTGTCTCTCCTGATAATAATGGGTTCTCTCTGGTCCTCCAGTCACCTCAGCCTGATTCTACTGGTCCACTGCAGCTCACGGACCTCAGGTTTGACACCCCTGCTGTGTTGTGTCATTAACACAGACACGTGTGTCAGACGTCAGAGTGTAGATCAGGTCGTGGGTGGAGGTGGTTGGAGGTCATGCAGCACTGTTTTTGTCCTCAGAGCTGGGGGTTTGACGCTGCTCCAAACACAGAAGTATCAGAACCGACTCGGCGTCAGACACTGACACGTCTGCGTCCATCCTGCTTTCATGTTCGGTCCTTGGTCTTGTATCTTGAGTTGAAGGCTGATCCATGAGTTTCCTCTTCTTGTCCCTGACCGTTAACTCACAGTGGACTCAGACAGAGCATCAGTTCCAGATTTTTTTAATTACCTTCAAAACCGTGAAAACCGTGGACAGGTCTTCAGGTCCTTCACAGGGACCCCATGCCCTAATCTTGAATGTACAAAAAGATCAGGTCCAGGTCCAAACTGCTTTTCTTTTCTCTAGAACTCTTTTGCTGAAGCTCCTCTGACGACCGTCAGCAGGTGAATCTAGATGATCCAAACTCCAGGTGCTAGAGCATGTTTTTCCTCCAGACTTCTGGTGTCTTGAGGACACGGTCAGGATCCCTCAGGTGTTTTTTCAGGCTTACCAGAGTAAACACTACGACCACACAGCAAAGCCAGCCATTTAACCAAGAAAGACAAAAATTCAGGGCTTTTTTTTCCCCCCTCATTCATCCGTCCACACTCAGTCCACTTGGGCTAGTGTCCTCACCATGGAAACTACTGCCTGTAGTCTACACCCAGCCACACATGTCCTGGAGTCACTCTCAAAGTCAAGAGTCCATGTACAGTATATGGGGTCTGTCCACAGTCCACATCTGGTCCACCAGGCCAGTGGCCCACTTCTAGCTCTGGGTTACATCTGACACAGATGCCTAAACTTGGCCTGTTATGATTTGGTTTATGTTTGGTTGAGATTTGGCCCACAGTCTGAGTACCAGGTGGGTCACCAAAGGCCTGAATTTTATTGCTCCTGTGGGCCCAAAGACCAAGTGTACCATATGGGCTACATTAAACCATGTGAGGATCCTTGACTCTGAGAAGCTCCAGTGACGTTCCTTCTCCATCATCAGCACTCGCTCTACTTCTCAGCTGACTGTTCTGTCAGTAGGGAACTCTAGTACTACACAGCTGTACTACACAGCTGTACTACTTGAACAATACTGCATGGCTCACTGTTGAATGTCTTTATATAGAAAAAAAAAACTTTTATGGAAGATAAATGACAGAGTTCCCTACTGCGTGGCGGTGAGCTGGGTCAGTAACGCTAGTTAGTTAGTGACGTTTCTCAGAGTTTTATGACAGATGTACAGTATGGTTACAGGAAATAGAAGCAGAGATACTTACGAAGTGAAGAGGGCGATTTTTAAGGGAAACTTTTCTCAGAGATACTTTGAAGTTTTTCCTTTCATCCAGGGCTCGTCTGACACTTGCACACATTGTTGTCTCCAGAGACGTGACGTCTGTGTACGCATCCAGAGTCACATGGACACAGAGATCTCCTATCTATCATACAAATATCTATATATAGTCACACACGCATATATACAGTATATAATATTTAATTAACTCTAAGGATGGAACTGTTTAAAGGATGGAACTGTTTAGTGGATGTTTTAGGTTTTTCTTTCTCTTCTAATTTAAATTTCTCCCAAAACTTTGAGACCAAAGATTTCAGTTGTCCTTTGTCTTTCAGTTGTCAATTGTAAATTCATGTTGTGTCCTACATTGTGGAGTTGGTTCGGTCCAGTGTTAGACCACACTGATGGTTTGTACTGCCAAATTTTGTGGGAGTATGTGGTCTACAGTTGTTGGAGTGGTCCACATTCATAACTTGCAAGTGGTGCAACAAAAATCATTTGGTCCTGCACCAGTTCTAAATTGTCTATCTGGATATTAGATGTGGGTCACATGAACACAATCAACCTACTTCTGGGCTAAACAAATTGATATGTGGGTTGTTTTTTTTTTTTTGTTTTAAACCAAGACGTAAGATTAAACAATCCCATAAAATAAATCTGGTCTGGACCAGCAGTGGGACGCAGCCCATTAGATCATGCAGACATTTCTGGCCAAGTTTGGGGAAGACAGTGAAGCTCTGTGGGTCAGGTGACCAGACTGGGTCAGGTGACCAGACTGGGTCAGGTGACCAGACTTTCATTGTGGGATTTTGCTGAAGCTATGTTTTTTCCCTGAAGTTTTTTTTCTTCTGTGGTGTGGGGTTTTAAACCCTCTCAGTTTGAAACATGTCCAGAGTTTTTGGTTTTTTTTCACTCAGGCCTCACTTTCTCAACACTAATTGCACATGTTGTAGCCAAGGGTCTGACTTGGTTTACATTTTCTGTCATTGTTGTTGTTGTTGTTGTTGTTGTTGTGGATGAAAACTCCGCCCAGCGTTGACGTCACCTCGACTGTAATTGACGTTGTCTGTTGACTCACCTTTTTTACGATTTTTGGAGAGTTGGAGGTTTCTCCTCAGGACTGGTGTTGGTTTCATTACGCTCCCTCCATGTCTCTCCCACAGACGCATCAGTCCTGAAGACTGTACATAAGAAGTGGGCGTGGCCAAGAGTAAAGGTCCAGAAGAGGTTTCTGCAATTATTTAAATTTGATTCTACTTTCCTTCAAAGTTCACTAACTTCTCCTGAACAACTGTAGATGTTGACTAATTAATGAGGTTCCTTCAGGTTCTTTTTGGCCACAGACATTTTTAGAATTCAGTTCATTCTGACTGGTGTCATTTTCTGGACCTTCAGTTTGGACCTAGACAGCAACCACCGTTTCTTATGTACAGTCTACAACCACCGACGCCAACACACGGTGACGTGGTCTCTGAGTTTGAGTATGTTCTCCCCAGAGTGGTGTCAGGACCTGGGCTAAGGACCAGTCTTGGGGTCGGTACCACGGACCAAAACCTCTTAATCTTTACGACTGTTGACTTGAGTTTGTGCGACTTGAAAAAGTCCGACAGGAAAACAGACTTTTCCGACTTCAGCATCTCAGTGAAAGAAAGGAAGCACAGGCTCAGTGTGTTCCCTTTACCCCGCCCCACCTTTCCCCTCAGGAGGACTGTTAGAACAGCGTTCCTGTTCCGTACCGGTGCGTTTGTACCGCAGCGACTCCTCACACTCAGAACTTCTGCAGAGTTTTATTTGCAGCCAGAGTTTGAATCTGTTTGATTCTCACTGAGGAGTCGTGTTGTGTTCACTGCTCCACTGATCACAGGTCCCAGCACCGTGGCTGCTGCTGCTCACACACACACACACACACACACACACACAGAGAGAGAGAGAAAAGAAAATGATTTTTAAAAGTGTATATGACGTCCCTCCTTACTCGTCCTTTTCTCTACCCTTTTTGACATACCTACAGACCCAGCATGCATATTTGGTACTATTGACTGTGTTTTTGTGTATAAAAGAAAAAGAACTAAAAAAAATAATTGAAGATGTCTTTGAAAAAAAAAAAACAACTGTTATTTGTCCGTTGATGTTGTTTTTTCACATCTGACTTTATTACAGCAGGATTTGACCTTTGACACGGTCCAAGAACAAAGTTTTCAAAGTCTTGTCAATCACACGACGCCACAACAGAGTAGGTAACACTGAGAAAGTGGACAGTACAGCCACGCCGACTCTTGATTTGGATCAAATACCACTAAATGATGGGATCTTACCAACAAGTACCATGTGGGCCACACGCCTCAACCAGATGTAGCTTGAGCTGCTCTCTCTACCCACAACTTTACATGGTCTGCGCCACCATTGTGGACCTACATTCTGGGCACCAGTGTGTGACCTACATTCTGGGCACTATATGTGGGCCACACCTGCCTTGGAAGCAGAGAGTCTTGGGTTCTATTCCCAGAACAGATCTGCTGTTCTCACAAGAACTTCCCAAAATGGTGGATCAATGAAGTTCAAATTATAATGAATTATTAGATTAACATCTGGTGACGTCTGGTTGGATATGACCCACATTTTAGATACCACATTGAAATAACTCTGTGGACTTGTTTCCATGGCGACTGTGACTGCGCCCTGACTTGGTGTTACTTCCTGTCGACTGCGTCTCCTTAACGTTTTCTCTTTCTGTCTCTGTGATGGTTCTGGTCCAACTCTCCAGCTGCTGCCGTTCCTGGTATGGGTTCAATAGTTTGTGGGTTGTAGATTCTCCGTTTGTTGTTGAGCTGAACTTGTCTGTCAGTGCAGCGCCACCACCTTCACTTCTTTTCAAATAAAAAAAAATATTTTCTTCAAATACAAACTTCCTCCTGCATCTTAATTCTCGTCTGAGTAGAACACGTGACCGTCACAGATGGTGAACGCACACTATACATTATTTTTAACTACACAAATAAAGGAAACAATTTTAAATACCACATCAGGTTATGTTTGTCCTGTCATTGGACAGAATAGACAGTGACACCTTCAGGATCAAAGTGTTATGTTTTAGATGATTTTATGTTTTTAACAACATCCTGTAATATACTCTTAGTTGTAAAGTTTAGGATTGGCCAAAAAACTGTCATTCTGAAGAATTGTTCAGTTCTCTTTTTCAAAGTTATGTTTTATGTTTTTTATATATATATTTTACTTGTATATTTCGAGGCAGATTTAATTTTGGCGACTTTAATGCACATCAAAGCACATCAAGGATTTTTTTTTTAAATCTGAAGAAATTTTTTTTGGCACAATGTTTTTTTTTGTTTTTTTTTTACAATTTTAATGAATGTGTATATTGTGCTGGATGAACAGTTTTGCAGGTTTAATTTTTTTCTCCAAAAACACATATTGTGAAAGGCCATACATAGTCATGTGTATTTGTGCGTGTTCCTGTGTGCGTGCTGATTAGGATTTGAAGGAAAACTGGATACAAAGCCGTTCTTTATTAGTCCAATCTATTGTTATTGATATTACAGAAGGGGCCGGTAGAACTGAAATACACTGCATCAGGAATTAAAACTAAATAATGACAACAAGAAAAACAAAGAGCATTCTACAAATTACAGTGCACTGACAAGTTACATTTCTATGTAAACAACATCTGTTCAAAGTTCATTCTTCACAAATAGGTATGGAAAATTTACTTTTATTTAAGTACATTTTGACTTAATTATTTATACGTTAATTAAAAGAAAATGTCGTGCGCGGATTCTCCCCTGTGTTAATGTCGACAGAGAACGTTGAGTCTCGCCTGCTGTTGGATGGTGGCCGGTGCAGAACAACAAACGGAGGTTGAGGATTGTCAAGCAGAGAGCTCTCGTGGAGCAGAGGACTCGGAAAGAGATGAAAATCCTTGGCCATATCTCAGACACCTGTTTGTTTTCAAATACAAAGAAGGAAAAAACTTCATCCTGCGATGGAAAACGAACCTGCCCCGGCGGACAGAGCTGTCGTCCTCGAAACTTCCACGTCAAACTTGCGGAAGCATGTGGTGGTGAGTAGAGTATCTATGATTTCACCAGTGTTTCCCAACGTGATGTTTATTATTTGTTTAAATTTGTTTACGTTAAGTGTGTCTTCATGATATCGATTGTTTTCGTTAGTTTAGCATCGATCCTGAAAGCAATAAAAGTGTAAAACATCCAAAGGGGTAAATACTTATGCTAAGCACTGTTTCTTGATATTTTAAGGCAAATTAGTGCGTTTTCTATTCATTTTTGGCAACCTTTTCAGACATTTTCAGAAAGTTTTTTGTATGTGAATTTGCTTAAAAGTTGAAATGCCAAAAAAAAAAAATCTCTTGTCAGATTTGGTTTGATGTGATACTGATGCATTGTGGGTTTTTTTTTTTTTTTTTTTTTTTTTTTTTAAATCAAAATGTTATCTTTTAAGTATTTTAGAAACAAGATTTTGGGGGAATTTTTTTAATCTTTCATGAAAATTTTGAAAAAATTCAAAATTTTATCTTTTCTGCGTGTTTCTCAACAAATTAAAGCAACTTGAGAAATGTACAGTTTAACTCGTGAAAATTAGTTTGACGTGTTATATTGGTCAAGGTTTTTAATTAAAATTTTGGAAAAAAAAATCAAATTGTTATCTTTTCTGCGTGTTTCTACACAAATTAGAGCATCTTGAGAAATGTTTTAGAATACATTTTTTATTAACTTTTCTAGTTTCGTGTTAGCCTTACCATCGTGAAAAAATCC